AGAATCTGTTTAGAATTGGAATCAGAAAAAGATAGTCTTCGAGAAATAAAACTGTATTTTTGTAGATTTGTTATGAAGATGATTAAAAGTTTTGAACGTAAGTATACAATGTTATTAGTTTGTAAGATATATGTAAAGATTTTAGTTGTGTTTTAATTCTTAAAGTTTTCTATTAATTCTATTAATTCTATAAATTATAAAACATTAAATATCAACATAATGGTACAAATTATTAAAGTAACTAAATATCTAAATGCTAAATAGTACTTTCATGTATTATACATAAATATTATAAATTGTGCTTTTAGAAAACATGCAATATAATTTGTGAATTTGGACTGGAACTAATAAATAAATTCTGATTTCCTATTTGTGACTATTGTTTATAATTATGTTTTTGTTTGTCTACAGAAATAAAAATACTAAATAATTAAGGGGATTACAAACGCTATTAAGTATTCATTAAAACAACCTTAGTAACTGACAAAAATTAAAGTACTTATAATGGTTTGATTTACAAAAAAGTATATATGTTTGAATTGGTAAAAAAGTCTACTGGTTGGTGCATATATTATATCTTTTAATATATTAAATATAAAAAGTTGACAAATTTATAAAATGTTAAATATTTATTCTCCAATGCAAAGTAAACTTGTTTACCAATTCAACTATCCATACTTATTTTAAATCAAACCAATAGAAGTACCTTAATTTATACCAGTTGCTAAGGTTTTGATGACAAATTAATAGTTTTTGTAATCCCCTTAATTATTTAGTATTTTTATTTCTGTATACAGGCAAAAATATACAAACAAAAACATAGTTAATTGTTAACAATAGTCATAAGTACGAACTCAGAACTTATTTATTAGCACCAGTGTATTATCCTTAATTTTTGTCAGTCCTTAAGGTTGTTTTGATGAAAAATTAATAGCTTTTGCAATCCCCTTAATTGCTTTTTAATTTTTATTTTTGTTCAGTAAATCGTTGACAGATAATTAAAAGTATTTGCATAATTGCACTTTTATAATTTTTTAACTTTAAAACCATTCATTTATTATTTTTTAAATCATGATAATTGAACAAGAATTTAAAAAATCAAATATTATTAAAATCATTTTAGCTTTATCAAATTAGCGAAAACTTATGTAATTTTATATATTTTTTTTCAAATTCTCAAACATATGTATTATTTTATTTAATTGTTTTGTTTACTGCTTAAGATGGTATATTTTTCAATTTAATATATTAACAGAATTATTTAATTTTTTTTTTTAGTTGAAACATATCGTACATTGTTAAAACGAGAATTACGCCAAAATTTATTTACTCTGTTTTGTAATTGGGCTGAACATTGGGCATCATCTTCTATTTCGACAAGTTTACTGACTATAGATTTAATTAAAGATGATTTGCAAATGGCATCCTTGCAAGCAGCTTGTGCAGTCCTTACATGTGGGCCATGTTTTAATCATACTTTGGCTGAACCTGATGGATCCTTATATACTTGGATAGATGTGTTGTTAGCACATCCTGACAAACGAGTTCATCAATTAGCCTTAGAAACAGTTGTTTTGCTGTTGGATTGTAATCCCGATATGGGTGCACTACTAGACTGGGTCGTAGATAGGTGTTATACAGCTATGCCATCAGTAGCAGATGCATGCTTCCATGCACTTGGAGTGATATTCAGCACTAGGTAAGTTAATTAATTATAATATTTATTCTCAAAACAAAGAAAAACATAGAAATGTTAATTATACAATTATTTGATTGATATTAGTATTATTTTTTAGTATTTTGTTAAATATTTTTAATATTGCCGAAAGACAGTTGCTCTTACAAATGTTTTTTTTATATAAGTGTGTATATGTTACGGGCAATGTGGAATACCGGGCAATGTAAACCACAAATTTTTTTAAAACAATCAATAATTTTATTCATGTAACATAATACAATAAAATATGAAGTTTTTAAAACACCGTGTATAAACTTATTTTTGTTATTTATCTTACTGCCTATTTAAAAACCAAGTGTAGAAAAGCAGACAGACTATGTAATTCCAAGTGCCATGCTTCTAAATCTTGTTCAAATAAATAGGTAATAATACAATTATAATTTATTATAAAAATAAAATGATGATACTTGTTAATTTTTTTTTTTTGTTATTCCATCAAATTATTGGTAATATTATGGTACATGAATAAAATTAATAATGATTGTTTTAAAAAAAAATCAATACTATAAATAGTTAATGATTATAATTTATAACAATAATAAAAAATAATATTAGTTGGTTAAAAAAAATGTGTGGTTTACATTGCCCGGTATTCTACATTGCCCGTAACATATAGACCATAGACCCATAAAGAATATATTCACAAGTCTATGGTATATACACACTGTACACAGTAAGATGTAATGTGTAGACAATATTTTTAATAAATATGTTTGATAATTTTTTACGGTTGACACTCAGTATGGAACTATGTATGAGACTTTTTAATGTCTGGGCACGTCATGTCACCATCCAAAAATTATCTTTGCATTTTGAAATACAAATTTTTTAGTGCTACCTTTGTAGCAACACTTATTTATTTTAAATGTTTTATAGGTATTGTAATAATAAGGGTTGGTAGAATTTTTCACATGCATCTAATAACCAAATCTAAAAATTATAATATCTTAAATCTTATGTACTATCTTTTTAACATTTTTTTTTTATTTATCTGGATATTGATAAATATGAAATATAAACTCAATCTTAACAAAACGCTGGGAGTTACTCTGCTTATAGTAAATTTCGAGTTTACCTCGTCAATATTGAATTAAATAATTTAAAAATCAATATTTTGTTTAGGGAATATCCATGTGATCATTATACGGCAATTATTAATGTTACACTCATGAACACTGGCTGTCCTCGGTCTTCTGTACGAGATACTGCGTTACAATTATTACAAGTATTAGATAAGAGGTTTTTTGGATCTGGATGCGTTGAACTATTACCACCAATTTTACCTTCCGAATCTCCCGTTACTGCGCGTGAGTACTATATTTTATATTTCATGAATAAATATTTAAAAAGTTTAAAAATAATAACTCAACACATATACTTGGGTGTACCAAAAGCTGAAAATGCTTAGCATTTGCCATTTAAGAATGAGGACTCCCAAATTTTCAATAACATAATTTTAGTTGGTAATAATTGACAAATATAAACAAAATCCATAATGGAAAGAGTTAATTTAATTCAGATTTATTAGTACTTAGTACATATCTTTGTATAAAATATATTATCTATATATATAAAAAAGATACCTTGCCAATAATACCTAATTATATCAAAGCATTTTTAATGAGGATAGAAAAATTATTTGTTTTAAATATTTTCAACAAAATATACTAGTATGAGTATTAGTATTTAGTATTAAATTGAATTTTAATATGTGTGTAGATTTGGTTTATAAGCAAAGAATCCCCCTACATGTTCCACTATAGCGTGTTTAGTGTTATATAGCACTCTTGAAAATGGTATTGGGACAAAATATCCAAGGTTAAAATATCCAGGGATAAAATAATCAATATATGGGACAAAATATCCAAATAAAAAAAAAATATTTTTTCCCCCTTTTTTTCTTTAGATACATTGTTCATTTTTAAATCACATTTAACATTGATAATACTTTGTAATAGTTTTTTCCTCGGATATTTTGTCCTAGATTCCTTGAAAATAATTTACCCTCGTATTCAATTTGTGAATGTATATCCAAGGCTTTCCCAATTCAGATTGTTATATAATGGAATGAACCTAATATACAGGATAATAAATTAATCAGGACAATTCAACATATTAATTATAATGTATACAATATACATTTATGTTTGTAAAAGTAAAACCAGAATAAAAATGGAGGTGAACAATGAGCATGCTTGATAAATCACCCTGTGTATACATATATAATATATATAACATATTAAACAAAATATTAATAATATATATATATGTATATAATCACTATTTTGCAGGAAGGTTTGATTTTGTTGAATGTTGAATAATTGAATGTCGTTTTACAAAATTGTTATATTTTAATAAAAAACAAATTAAAAACGTAGGATCTATAACTTTCTATAGCTGATAAGGAATAATTAAGTGGCCTGATGGGTAAGAAACACAATTATCTATAGAGGATTCAGGGCCGTATACTTAAGCCTCAACAATTGCATTGATTGAATATGGCGACTAGGGTTGTTACAAAGCGTGCATTTGTCACTTGATATGTATTAATCTATTTTTAATTGTGAGACTTTTCTTGTAAGTACGATCAATTTTGCGTTTGCAGTCTATCAAAACATATATATGCCTACTGACAATTATTAATGACTCAGTTTAGTCCAGTATAAAAAATAATAATGTACATTCGTAAAATAACGGTTGAAGAGCGTTTGAAAACTGTATAATATTATTCTTACAAGAAACCTGTGACGCTTCGTTTATGCCCGAAGCTAATTAATCATTGGAATTCGCTTTTCAACATACCAGGAAGTAATGGAACTGATGATTGCGAGCGTCACAGGGTATGATCATGTAGATCAGATACTTCACACCTATATTATTTACAGATTCTTTGTAGGAATAGACGGTTATTCATACGCCTTTGCGACTTTTATTTAGAATCAATTACATATTTGAATTTAGTATTTACATATTATTATTGTACTGTATATTAAAATGATGCTAGTAGGTTAATCGTAATAACATTTAATAACAAGTAATAACTGATAAACCTTGGTAAAATAGTCTAGTCGCGATATGTGTCGCCCTCCGATTTTTCGTATCATGTCATATTATTACACATTACATATATTACATTATCATTTACTGCCGCTTCTCTTAATTTGTATTCATATACTTGTACATTCGAATACATATTCATAGCGGAGGTTATATTTATACATCCTTATAAATTTATAATATACTAAATAAACTATATACCTACGTCCTATCTGTAACATTGCTTTATGTCAGGATTTCAACGAGATATTGTTTCTCGAATGGTTTGATGGAGTTAAATCTAAGGTTTTTTACCTAACAATTAAAAATGTAAATGTGAATTATTGTTATTCTCGTAGAGTAGTTCAACTAGTATTTTTAAATCAAAATCCAGAATACGTAACCGAGCATGTAACCCCCGACATTTTTTCGTTTTTAAACATGATTTGGAATAAATAAAATTAGAAAAAAAAATAAAGCAAAAACAATCTTAATATTATATTAAATTATAAATTAAAATGTTTTGAATAGAGAGTCATCAAAAAACTATTTTGACTATGTGCCAGGTTCACCTTACCTTTCAAAAACTGGGAACGGGTGGGTACTGTTTATCACAATATTACCACCCGTGTTTGTCGTTATCCTATCGTTTATTCACCATCATAATTTAGTTATACATAGGTGGGGGCCTCTAACCACCCAGAAAAGCTGGCCTTCGGCCCACAGAATAACACAACGTCTACCCTACCCGTCCACTTGTATCCCGCCTGATGCGCTGCAGCCTTCTTCTGCCTGAGTATCGTCTCTACCATCCTGTCAAACGCTAGCCTCTGCTTCTCCGCCAACGCCTTAATACGCTGCATCCTTGACATATCATCCGGGAGGAGCTCCTGCTTAGGCCCCAGAATGAAATCAGAGACATTTTCTGGCTGCAGTCGCCGACCAATGCTCTGCTCCATCTCAAACCTACCCTCCGCCCAGTACTGATAATGGAACAGCGTATGTTCCACTGAGCCCTCCGGCTCATCGCAGTGGATGCAGCGGGATTCAGCCACCGTCCTCCTTTTCCACAGGTAGAGCTAGTAGCATCCATGTCTCGATGATACTTGCGCCATGTGAAATACCTAGAAGTACCTACAGTTAGTATAGATTATATATTTACTTCAATCCGATAACTGTATCAATAATTAATATACTCACTACGCAGTAGGTAGGTACCACAAATGTTGTGTCATTTTTGAGCAGTACAAATGCTTCGATCTTCAACTTCAATACATTTTCTAGTTTTTTTGTTAGTTAGAAGATAATTTTCTACAGGGCGCATTGAACTTCGATTTTCAATTTTGTTGCTTAAGAGGATTCTTGATAATTATCACTATTTTTATTCTGAACAAATATTCGGATTCTACGTAAAATGTACAACTTGTACAAGAGAACTTTTGAGCCATATTTTTAACTGTTGTAATTAAGATTGTAATGAATGTTGTTATAATTTTCAAAAATTGGCAAAATTGTATACTTAAATATTTAATCAACTAACTAAATTCATCATCAAAAGTTCTTACGTTTCCTTTTATTTAAATGTTCTTAATAATATTAATAAATGCATTAATTAATATAATTAAATATTTATAATAATATTATTATGTTATAAGATGTATGTTATCGATTTAAATTATTTGTAAACCTAATGGCCCATGTCACTGAGGATACCCACAATAATACCTTGTAACTATAGAAAAAAAAATAAGATAATTATCTTATACCTAATTTTTTTACTTTATTGCAGACATATTTTTTTTCTTTATTAGCTTCAAGTATATAACTATTACAGCTCAACGATTATAATACAAGTGCTCAATATTAAATACATTATAATGAAATTGAAATAAACAGAAATAGTTACCGGTGAATATGACATAATTGGTAATTAGCCTAATGAGATAGAGAAGAAATGAACTATAGAATGGATTGATTGTGTAATACGGCTGTAAGGAGGGAATTGAGGAGATTAATTAGTGAGGAAAGTTGCAGACATATTTATTTTAGTAATTTTCTACAAGTATCTGTTTTTTTTGTGAAACTTTATCAGATTGGAAATGGAACTTATAGGAATCATTTTATGTACAACTTTCGAGACTTACATTTTCTTTGTATTTGAATTTGAACATTTTTACTGTATTCTCTGACAAACCGTGTTTATTAAAATGTTCATTAAATAAAATCTTACAATTTAAATTTTTCATCGTAAAAATACATATTTCGGAACCATCGTCTTTAACTGCAAGAGATATAAATAATAGATTATTTTCATTCATTTAACATTTTAGAATACTCAAATTCGACTATGTTTAAAATTTTTTAATATTTAACAATCCAAGCTTTACAATTTATCGTTAAAATTTTTGAAAGTTCACAATTTGTTTATTGATAATATGTAAGTAGATACAATATGTAAAATAGCTAGTATGTATTTTATAAAACGACAGTAGTTATTACAACATATTATATATAAAAAACATTTAAAATATAATACACAATCTAATTTTAATGAATATAGAATCGTTATATTTTAATTACTACAAAATACTTATTTTTACAGATATTTTTATTATATTATCAAAGCCAATACAGTATTACGTACTTATTAAATTGTGCGTTTTTTTATTTAGGTACTTCTAAAACACAATATTACTATAAGTAGACATGTAAAATATCAACCATTCTTCAAAAACATATAGGCTTTTATTTATTAAACATTTGACTAACCTTTTTGTTTTATAGTACATTAAATATACATATTATATTATTATAATGCTTATTTTTAACAGGCGCAGATTGAGAGTATTTATTGATAGAAAGGAATTTAACTATTAACATATTATATTTAAATAGTAAATTCTAAGGATCGATATTTTACAATATATTGTACAGTTTTTTAAAATCTAAACAAGTTACGAAATACAGTTCCAATCAACCATTAAAAAAGTCTGAATATTGATAAATTAAATTTTCGTATTGAATTGCCATGTTTATAATGTCGCGTTGTCAGTACTAATATGCTTTAATCATTTTATTGAATGAATTTTAATAAATCCATATTAAAAACACTTTAATATCGCTTATTGTTATTTCAAAAGAAAATTAATAATTATTTATTTATTTGTTGTAACAAATATTTTAGTTTAGTGTTGCGCTGTAAGTTTTCATTACTATATTTACATCAAATAATAATTATAATTATTAACACACTCACCTATTCATGAATTGATTTTTTTTGGGGTGGTTTGGAATTGATTTGGAGGAGAATTTTTTCATGTACTACCCTTTTTATTCCCAACTATTTCTTACAACATAATTACTGTATACAATGTATATTATATAGCCATATATGTACATTATATTAAGCAATGAGTTAATCTTTAAGACATTAACTGTGTGCAATTGGTATGAGTTCATGAACTTCTTTCCAAGTTCCGTTGACTGTAGTTTGTTTTGATCCAACCCCGCTTTTTGAAAATTCTGATAATACTGCAACATATAATATTATAAGGTATTTATCAGAAATTTAAATTCTATAAAAGCTTTTGTATATTAATGTGAACATTTGAATCTATAACTATTGCTGTAAAAGGTTAGGAATTATATTTTTTAACAAAAAGTTGCCGTTTTTAAACACCCCTATTTGCAATACTTCATGACAACTCCGGCACCCTTGATATCATGATACCCATGATTACGTTATCTTTGATATCAATCAACTGGCTCTCGTACCTAATTATTCATTTTTGAATAATAAAAAAAAAAAATAAACAATATATGTTTGATCCATTTGTATGACTATATCTAGGTATTTGTTGAGTTAATTTATAGAGTAACGTGTATTGGAAATATTAAAATATGATGTTAATATTATTATTAAGTATAATACCCATCTATTAACTATTACAATATATCATTTATTACAACTCTGAACTCATAATCTATATTATTTACAGTTTTATAATTGTATACTGACTAAATATAAGTAATAATAAATACCTTTGGTAAACATTTGATGGACTATTATCCTTATTTGCTATATATACATCTTCCTAATTATTTTGCTGGCTTCCTAAATAATTGGTCTTTCATTTAGGTATGAATTATGCGAGTATGAGACACGGATATAGATGGATAATAATAATAACATTGTAATATTTTAATAGTATAATATGTGTTAAATATTTGTAAATATAAACTTAGCACTCCTACATGAATATACTTTTTTTTAAATTTGATCTTTACTAACATTTACAATTTTAAAAATGTCCTTAAATCATTTGTGAACACTTACTATTTTTACTATTGAACTTATTATATAAAATATATTTATAAAACAGAATACCTACTCAAAAATAGTCTTTTAAGGTTATTTAGGGTAATCGTCTTTTCAATGAAAAAATAATCATTTATAAAATGCATTTATTGGTTCCTAATTATACATTTAAACTTGAAAGTTCTGAAAACATAACCAATTTGCCTAGTTTTACAATCTACAAATAAACAAATTACCTTAAATATAAAACATCTAAAGCTGATGGTGTTCTATGCATAAAATACTAATACATATATGAAACAATGGTAAAATTTGCAGTATATTTGGTTTCTAGTTTGAAACAATAGTTATACGATTTTTTTTTAATGTGTCAGTAAATATTTTTACTCGATATGTAATTGTATTTCAATTGTTCTAAATACCACTTTCAGCTGATAAAATAATTCATTGTTATTCATACTTTGTATTGTATCTTTCAAGTGTTCACTTAGAAAACTATAACAATTAATAATAATTACTGTAAGTATATAGTTGTATTATTTTTCGTAATTTTGCTAAAAATGTTTAATTTATTTAAAAATAAGTAAACCAAACTCATCTGCCAACTTTCTATCATTTAATTTAACTCGTCTCTTATTTTAAGCATTTTTCAATATTCTTTTCAATTCAGCTGTAAGCCTAATAATTTAAAAAAATACTTTATTTGTGGTGTTAGTTGATATTAGTGCTATTTGAAATATATTTTGAATTTTCCTATTTAAATTTTTAATTTCTATTATGTTAAAAGTATTTTATTAATTAAGAATATATTTGTTCAGAGGACATAAATATTTTCGAATTTTCAACAGTTATCAATAATAATTTTTTTTTATACTTAGGCTTTAAAAAACTACTGATAAACCCAAAAATTACCTGTTGAAAGACAAAAGTACAAACTATAAACGAATTCTTATCAATAGACTGGATAGGCTGTGTAAAACTATTTCATTAGTTTCATTGACCCGAAATTATTGTTCTTACAACAAATAAAAACAATATAACTACCACGCATATATTATGCCTATTGTCATATTTATATTCATTGGGTGATCGTTTTTAGAATGCAGACTTAAACCAATCACTTGTAAATGTTATTATGTCATATAATACAGTTAAATTTGAAGTTAAGTTTTAAACATTTTCGAAAGTCTTAATAGTAATTTATTTTAATAAACTTATAATTTTTAACGTTGAGTTTATTTTTTTTCTTCGGTATTATATGAGTTCTTCACAATGGTTTTCAGAGTATTTTTTAACATTCTAATTTTAAATAACCATGTACCTATCGTGTTGATACAGGTTTATCCACCGTTTTTTAGTTAGTGTTATTTTGTCTTATATTTAGTTATTTATAATATTATATAGGTACCACAGTTTTATCTATTTTGATGTGTAGTCTTTTAGTTAAAAACAAAAGTTTCTTGAAAAAATGAAGTTTATTCAAGAATCGTATTTATAATAATTTGTAATTAAAAATATGCTGTTGGTCATTTACTGATCTGAAAGTTTAATTTTGGATGAACCGGCTGAAGCGTTAAAAAATTAATTTTTCCGGTTCAGCGGACAGTAAATATTAATTCTACTCAGCAGGAAAAAGTAAACGTTACTGTCCAAATCAATTTAATAATTGAGAAGGTATTCATGATTGTTTGGGTAAGTACTTTCTAATATATTATATATCGAATAACAGATGGTAGATGGGTTACTCTCACGCTGTTCTATGAAACAGATTAAAGTATCTTGACACCAAGAACGTTAAGAACAATTCATTATGGATAACTATCAGACAATGATAATCCATCACGTGGTCCTAACAAAAGCTAATTACCATTGCTGTGGTAATATCAATAAGAGGTAAATCCGCAAACGCATACAAAAAGTATTGTGACTCGTGCCGCATTTCACCCGAGACTGAAGTAGCTTATTTCCTGCCCTTACCACACAATCTGGTCTCATTGATTTTACATTATTATGGATTGCTCCTGGCCTATTAATTTGTTTGGTCACATTATACAGCCGTTAAATAAGTTCAAGTCTATTTGAAATCGGCCTTCCCACAGGTTTGATTTTATACTTCTAAATTTTAAAAAAATTATATTAAAAAATTGTTAAACTTATATTCTTAAAGAAGTTTTGGTAAAAAAATTAAAAAAAATTAAAGAATCAATCTCTAGTAGACTTAAGAAAAATTCAAATATATTTTCAGAATGTCTATCGCTTCACTAGATTGATCAGTACGTTGGTGATATAAGTATATAACACGTCTGAATTCATATATTGCGTGTGTGCAAGGAAAAGATAGAAAATGCTTCAGGTCTCTCCTTAATCACTAGTTTAAGAAGCATTATATTATTAGCTATGTCGTAAAATAGTATAACATATAACTATTGAAGATCAATAAATTAATTTAGGGATGTTGGCTCTTTGTTTTACAACTGACCTAACTTGATAATTATTTATTTCAAATAGAATGTAATGATGGTAATAAATAGTATTAAGGTATGTTAATACTTAATAGTAAATAATGTCATTCATTATTGGCTATTTCACATATTATTTATAAAAAATGTATGACAATTGCTGTAGGTAATAACTAATAATTAAAATTCATGATTTATTTATAGTTTACTTTAAGTTTATTTATAAGTATATTTTATATTTTCTTACCTTTATATTTTCTTCCTATATGAATAATCCAATTTATCTGTTGAGCCTGACTATTTTTCTTTTATTACGTTTAAAACTTTTAATGTTTACTTTTTTTCTATTCTCCTATTTATACTATTGGTTTTAGAATTTCTAAGAATTTATTTCTAACCGTTGGTTGTATTTGTATAGGTGTTCACAACCTCTTTTCTCTTGTTTACTTTCTAAATTATTATCCTTATTTTAAATCGCATATGTCAGAATATAGCTGATATTCGATCGAAAATGTGTACCTATAAAATATTGTAATAATTCAGTATCATTTGCTAGATTTAAGGCTCTTTGTTTATTGTGAAAATGTGAAATTAATTTATTTTATAATATGTGTATTGTGTATGTTATATTACCCAGCGGTAATTGACCAAACATGGTCAGACCCATTTTTTTCTCTTTAATAACTAATTTATTCAAATTCTATTTTGGAATTTTTAAGTAGGCATGCTTTAAAACAATATTTAGATTTTTGTTAAATTTAAGGAGTGTCTTGAGATAATTTTATTTTTTGTCCGAGTATTATAACTTATAATCATTAATCAGGTACTTGAGTCCTTGACTAAATGTTACATTTATTATTCTATATTTTATTTAATATCATTATTATGGCCTATTATTTTCAGCAAGTTACTAAATAAGAAACCACAAAACTGAATTTCTGTTTAGACGTGTTAACATTTAAAAAAAACATCATCGTACCAATTTACAGTAATAAAAGAGTGGTTCTTATCTGAAAATAATATGTCTGTATCACCAAAGCAGAATCCAAGAAATTACACAATTTAAGAATCGTACAAAAATCTAATTATTAAAAATACTGCCTTAATAGAAGATACTTAAAAAATCCAAAAATAAGATTTAAAAAAAATGTATTCTCTAAGCATAAAAGGGAGTATTGCTTTGCGAATTACCTAGTATGTATAACATTATATATTTTAGGATAATTCAAAAGTTTCATAAAGCCCTTATTTCGTCAATTTAAAATTGGTCACATTTGATAATTATATAACTTATAACGTATACCTATGTTCTGCAATGAACGAAATATTATTTAAAATGTCAACATTTGAAAACCGCTTTATTGAATAGTTCTTAATTACTCACGCAGTATCAACTTCTATTTATAAAGAAAATCTTAAAAAAAACTGATCTGAAATTATTTTATTTGCCACAAATTCCCGATCAAAATATTTTGAATAAATCATCTTTATTCTTGATCAAGGTATACAAGAGCTCACCTTAAGTGCAAATATGATAATTCCGAGTTAAACTTATTTTGCATTTAAAAATCGCTTTTAAAATTTTTTAGAAATGTGTCTATATATTATGTATAATTTACATTTATGGTTTTATTCAACGCGCATACCTACTAGCAATATAATTTATGTGTTTACCTTTCTTATAGGTACTGCAACCTTTTTACTTATTAGCTATTTAAATATTCTCTTTATTCCATGTAAATACATTTAATTTGTTTTTGATAAAATTATTTATCTGCAAAATGAAAAAATGAGAACGTGAGAATTATTTGATAAATTGTAAATATTGACTTTTTGCAGTGTGCCTGTGTATGTTTATATTTTCCTGCATTATACAATTATAATAGTAGAACCTAGAAATTTATTATAATAAATATTATTGTTATAAATATGATATGATATTATACATTATATCATTTAGTTTTTATATAGCTATGGTATACTTTTTAAAATTAATTTCTATTCTCTTATTATTCATATTGGTATCAATTATTACTTGATAAGTGTCTGTTTGGTGAGCTTACATATACTGCAGGTAGTCGTCGGGACACAAAAAGTCACGTAATGTTTATTATTTAAAATATTTTAAAACTAATATTTTTTTAGTCATAAAATATTGTAGGTATTTATAATATCCCCCCCCCCCAAAAAAAAAGTTTTAATTATAAATATAATAGGCAATCAACTAATTATTTAATAGTATTTTCGACGTAAATAATGCTCACCTGTTGTAACCTGAGTTTCCTTTGATCTTTTATTGGAATGTCTTCTTTTATTCCAAAGTTCAACCAAAGCTCTTCGAAAATTTTGGCCACTTACACAATACAGTACGAAATTTATTCCAAAATGTGTGTTGTACATTTGGTTTGCAATGATTTGTATAGTTTTGTACTTTTCTGATGTTATCTATAAATCATGGAATGTGACTTTATAAAATATATATTTTCTCATAATTATCCTTAGGCAATTGAATAATACAATTGAAATTTTGAAGATGTTTTATTTCTTTTAAATGTAATTATCCTTGATAATAAGTTATAAATCTTTTATATGTCTTAGTGATTGCAAAATTATAAGTTTATTATTAAGTCTTTAAACCATTTATAAAAATGGCCGTTAAAAATCAAGTATATATGATAATAATTATACAAAAATGTAATACTCACATTGTCCCATACCATCCATACTCGGAATACGTATGATGGTAGGTTAAGACATAAGAAAACTGTAGACACGACTAAAAGCATTTCTGTAACTTTTATTTGAGATGTGTGTTGCGAGTTTTGGGACGTAGATTGTCTTCGTCTAGATGGGTGAAGTGTCATTGTTCGTCTTATTCTGGCTAACCGGCACACAGATTGGCAAATCATGCTATTGAATATTACGATCAGGAAAAATGGTATCATCATGTTCATCAACACGTCTGCATAGTTTAGCCACGTATATAATTCGTACCACGAAAAGTTCAAGCTACATTCTGTCGTTGTTGAGTTACTATTCGTAAAATTATCAATTATTGAGTTGTAACAAATCATTATTTAAACATTGCATATACTTTTTTATGGTGAAACTAAAGACCTATAAATTTAGTATTTAGTGTTACATAAAACTTTTTGAGCTTTCCTTATATCCAAAAATATATGATGAAAATGGTTTTTAATTTTTATATCGACTAATCTTAGTATATTTTATGGACTGTGGTTTAAACTTTTAAGAAATGTGTTAATTTAATTTTAAAATCAATAATTATAAATTTTTTGAATAAATATCCAATCTGTTTTTATTATGATCTGATTTTAAACAATACTTACTTTGCTGAGAGTGTGTCGTTAGGTCCTGAAATCACTAAATATGGTATATGTACTATTAATGCAAATGTGATTAATATGCTTAGTACAATTTTAGCTCGGTATACTGTGCATATCACTGATCTGTGTAATGGATACCGAACAGCAATAAAACGTTCTGATGTAAACACTACAACTAGCCACACGCTAATAAAACTACATATCTATATAGAAAAAGAAAAACAATAATTTTTTTAATAAATCATAATGTGCATTGATAAAAATGAAAAAATCTAATTAATATTATTATTAGATCGTTCTTTTATTTTCTACCCATAAAAAGTTTCCCAATTGTGTCTGAAACTCTGAGAATAGTGTTTTTGAGTTTTTCTGGTTAAACACCATTTTAAGAAATTTTTTTTTATTTATTTGTTAATTAATGTAAATTTAGATGTAAAATTATTTTATATTTTAACTGAAGTAGACATGAATCAATACAATTAACATAAAACGTGTTTGAACTTTTTCGAGACATCATAAGTATTTTATCGTATGTACCTTTTAAATAAACATTGTTTAATGTTGGTAAGTTTTAAAATATGTTATACAATTAAATTAATGCTAAATTTAATAATAAAATTAGTTTCAACTATATATTTTCATGTGTGAATGTTTATAAATGGTTAGAATTTGATGATATTAATTATGTAATAAAATTGATTTATAGTAAATTATGTAGGAGTTCTATTTTCATTCAACCGCGTCTTATTTGAAACTGTAGATTAATTATCTTTTGAATACTGCATGCACTCTTATAGGTTTTTCATAGTACTTAAAATAATGCCTTAGAATTACTCTAATAAAATTCCACACCTGAAGGGATCGATTTACTTCATCAGAAGTTTATGGGCTGTTATTTTTGAAGAAGAAGAATTGTTATCCATGAGACAGATGTTAGTGCTTTTCACTAGTTATGTTACTGTTTATTACGACGTTTAATTGATTTACTTTTAATCGCGAGCATCTATCATGCTATGAAAATTAATTAATTGCATACCAAATCTTATCTAAATTTAACTCTATATATTTGATTTTAATAGGACCCATTTTTAAAAAATTATATGAAAGATAATATGAGATAATATTGTATTCTAAAATTGTCTGAAGTTTAATTTTTATCATGTTATTGCTAGTAGGGTAACGTATCTAAAATATATTACATTATCATGTATTTCGAATTTCGGCCTCCAGAATTCTAATTTAGGAGTAATTTTAAACTATAGATTTATTAGTTATTACTTCGGCTATTACTGTGGAGCTTTAAATGTCCTTTCGGAAAATCTTAAAACTCTAAATTATGTCCCAAGAAAATTACCTATAATCGATTCCGAATTTCTTTGGTAATTGAGATAAATTTTTTAATCGTTTTCTTTTAAAACCAGATTACCTTCTGTTATTTTAGTACTACAGGTGTACCTATTTCAATTTTTTTTCCGTATTATTACTAAAAATAGGTTAAAAAATGACCTAATAATTAAATAATGGCCTAAATACGTTTGAAATTGCACTAATTGTCAAAAATTTAGAAAGTTGCAAAAATGACCAAAAATAGTTGGTTGTTACATTGTGTGTCACCCACGGCCACGCGTGGGTATGCACAGAAGAACTCATTTTTATCGGATCATAGCATGTTCTCTCGAAGGACAGAGTATAAATAAGATGTGTTGTGGCAAAAGCGCGATTTATGAATTAATAAATACTGAACTGTATTCAAATCCAGATTTTAAAATAAAAATATTTGTAATCATTTAAAAATCAAACCTTGATAATTGCACCATCGACAAATCAAGAAGGCTAAAATCGAATATGCTTAACACAAATAAAAATATAATATGATATATATATCTAACCTATCTTACATCTCCTATACATACAATTTCAAAAAATGCTTGTACTTTTGAAATAATGTGTGCTTATTGTAATAAGAGTCCTCCCCTGTGTATAACTATAAAATTGCTTTTTTAATTACCTTAAAAATATTTGAATATTAATTAGTGTTCTACAAAAAAACCCATACAAATTAGAGTTAGCTTAAGTGGTATTATTTTAGTTTCAATCTGCTAATTTGCAACATCTATTTATCATTTATGTAATTATTATGTTTGACATTTATGAAATGCCATGATTAATAATTTATTATAATAATGTATGTTTTAACTTCAGTCCTTTTTTTAAAATTGTGTGTTAAATTGAAAGCTTCTGGTCTGAATCATAAATTTTTGGTATTCTTATCTTTGAAGTGTTCTTACTTACCTATCCCTCAGGGATTTTGTTAGGGCTTATACGTTTTAATATGTTACTCCACATCATATTTATGTAAATCAAATACTAAATGTTATATTGTTTGTGAACTAAGGAAACCCGGGGCAAGATGAGAGTTTAAGGTAAAAGAGCTGAATAGTGTGTTTACTCCAAATACACCCATATCATTTTGAGTAAATGGTTTTGAAGTTTGAATTTATCATTTTATACGTAATTAGTTATTAATGTCATTATTAAATTCACGGTGTTTTAAAAAATAGATTTTTTAATTATCTTAGAAAGCAATATTATTTGAAAAAATATAATACTATGCAACATTTATTGGCGTCTCTTAAAATATTTAGTATTTCCATAGTTTTTTTTTTTTAATACAAACAAAAATAAATACCCTACTGCTAAATAGGCCTAATTTAAAAATTATGATGATGTTGAAATATTTAATGATTATGCACAACTCGTGTAGTTAGCGAAGAATCACAATCGCACTTGCGCTTATATTATTATTTGTATTTCAACAATTGTGTTTGGTTTCACTAAAATTTGATAAATTTAACGACGCATTATAATTTAATAAAAAAACTGTAATATATATGTTATGTTTAATATACTTTAAGAATCCGCAGTATTCGTTTTGTATTTACATTAAATTTGCAAACAATATTAAAGTCGGTTTTATTGTTCTATGTTTTCAAGTTTTAGTTTCTATTTCTAAAGATTGAATACCAGCGTTTACTATAAATGTTATTTTATGCATAATTAAAATAACCCGCTTAAAATAATATGATTTTGATTTATTTTTAAATTCCTTATTATAATAATAGGTATACCAATATCCTGCACCGAGCAGGAGGAATGATTGTTTCATAATCGAGTCTCATGATGTATTCAAAATTTAAATATTGTTAATTTGATAGATAATAATGATTCATTATCCAGTATTTTATTTAGTTTTATAGGCGTATTATCGATGTATTTAGTTACAATTATTGTATTTAATACCTATAGAATTTATAGTTAATATTTTTAGTAGATGTTTTTGAAATATCTAAAATTAAATTTGAACACCACAAATTACTTTTGTATAAATATTTGTATAGAACATGTTTACCACCAATGATTTATAGTATTTATTTTACCTGGGCCAAGTAGACGAAAAATTGACAAAAACCTTGCATATGGTATATCCCGATTCCAACTTTGGGTAGTACAGGCATCAGTTGTATTAGTAAAAATAATGTGTCACTGATTGCTAACGAAGATAAATAATATGATGACGATTGTTTTCGTAATTTTGTTCCAAAAAACACTAATACTGATATACAATTTCCCAAGCTTCCGAGACATACAACAGCTAACGGATAGTATTTTACAAACCTAGAAAGTAGAAAAGTTTGGTTATTAATTTTTAAAACCGTTTTGATTAATAATGAGGATTATAATTCATATTTATTACTGAGTAATGAACTAATAAATTTACTGTTTTAATTACTTTTGACCCTTGAAAGTACCAACTAGATCAAATTATCTACCAGAAACCACCCTCAATATTGAAGATTGAAGCAAATTTATTTCTACAAAACATGTCATCAGACAAAAATAAAATGTGTCATTGTAAGCTCAGTTCCGCTCAGAATTACAAATAAATAATGTATGTACCAATATAAAAATATAGTATCAATACAAATAAATAGTAGAATTATTAAAGATTACATTTTCAAAATTTTCTTTTCTTTTAAATTGTTGTGGATTAAGAAATGTATTATTATTTGTTAGTATGTTTTAGTATTGACTTACCGTGACTTTTATTTTTATAGTTATTTTTCAATATTAAGATTTATTACATTTTTATTGTAACAGTAATATAACTTACCTGTCAGTTAGGCTTATTTCGTCTTCTAAATTTCCATTTATATCAGTCGACATTATTTTGGACTTAATATTCAATTATTTTTGTAGAAATATAATCGTCCAATTCTAAATCCCTGGAAAAAATATATAAACACATTCAAAATAGAAAGGTTAAGTATCATTATCTGTTGACGCACTTAGTAATCGTTAAGTATTAAGTTAGTATCGTTGGTAATGTTGAATCTGTGTGTAATCACATTATAATTTACTGAATGTTTTTATTTTACCTATAGGTTATTAAAATCATTATTATTTGTATTGAAATAATTATTTTATTTATTTATCATTTCAATATAATGATGTTATAAGTACCTAGGCGATGATTATATATTTTGAACATAACTTATAATTTATAAGTTATAAATAACTAAAATGAGTTGAAATATCTGGGAAACTAATAGGAGTGACAGTGTGTTGTCCAAATATTTAGAACTTGTCTACTAAATCCATTGAGACCAAAAGTTAGATTAAAGACTGATTTTCGGACGAAATTCTAACAAGTGAAACTGACACGCATGAACACCAAATAAAATTCTTCTTAACATATTTGTACCATATAGCCTATACGGTAAAGAATAAAATACACTGCAGCTGTACTTCAAAACATGTATAATCGACTTTTTTTCGGGAATGCACTTTTAAATTTTAACTAACATTTAACTTTAGAATGGATATCATAATAAAGTCAAAATAAAGAAACAGAACTTATTTGGTTGGTTAGACTCTCATTGTGGAGGGCAAAATGTTCGTCAAATATTTACCGTTATAATTAGTGAAACATTTAATTATGTATTTTTATTATGATTAAATGTAAATAATACCTTTTTTACTCTCTTTATAATGTATATAAATTAACATTAATTAAAAATAAAAATTGTCTACGTATTATTTTCTTAAAGTTATCAAAATTAATTATTTTATAAATGATTATAGATTATAGTACTTTATACATATAGCTAGTTTTTCACGTAGGTACTCTACATTGAATTATTCAAAAGTAAAATTCAAATTAGATTAGGTTTAATAAACATTTGAATTAAATTAAAACAAATTGTCAGTGCAATAATACAATTATTTGATTTTTAAACTTAATGGAATTCAACTATTCTGGTTTTATAATGAGTTTTAACTTATAAGGCTAAAAACTTTTGGTCTCATACAACATAATGCGGCTAAAACTGCAGTGTTCTATCCGTATGTGTTTCATGTTTGAATTTCTAAATATTTTAATAATTGTGGAGATTTTTTACACAATTTTGTATTATTGTGATGTGCATAAGTAAATGATGTTTGTTTAAATGTGAAAAATGTAGGTGGTTAAGTCATCGAAAGTGATGATAGAATAGTATCTGGTAAATAGTTAGTAATAATTCGTTCCGAGTCCAGTATATTCAATTTTTACTCAATTATTTATTTATTTTTTGTTTTTTTTTTTTAATATCATTCATATGACATGTTTAATGCTCGGAAATTATTTTTTCAAATTATTAAAGTTTAGGTCAATGTTTGAAAAATGTAAAAATCAATTTTTTTTAATGAAATTTAATTCATGTTATGTATAGTACATTATCTTTTAAATTACTATTACTCAGAATGTAACCTTTTAATTTAGGTACTTTTAAAATTGAAATGCTTATTAATACCCAATATATTTGGCCCCGTTATTAAATTTAGTTTGCCCTATGAATAAATATGTTTGGTATTTTAGATTCTGAGAGTAGCGATGTAATGTATTGATTTTACAATGATGTGTGTTTTTTTGGTCCGGAAACACTTTTTTATTAAAAAAAATGCTCTAATCATCAACTTCGACGAAGGTTTCTGGTAACAAAGTCAAGTCGATACTTTCGGGAGAGGTCAAAATTGAAAATTCGCAGTATTTTTTACTATAGTCGAAAAAAAATACAAACATTTAAAGTTTAAATATTTTTATAAAAATAATTGTTTGGTACCTTGTTGGTTACAAAAAAAGTTAGATTGGCTTCGATTTTTTTTTTCTATAAATGTCGATGAAAAATTATTTTCTTGGTCAAAAATATTTAAGAATGTAATACTAGAATTTTATCATATCTATTTAAAATGGTTGAAAAGTCATATGCACGATTAAATTTTCAACTTCAAATCCTGACAAAATTCGTCAAAATCACGAATAATTGTATATTATTTTGTTCTTAAAAATGTATACGATTTTCACTTTGTATAGCCAATAGGGCTTGAAAATGTAATACAAATGTAAATGAAAATGTAATTCTTCATAAGTAGTTCATAATGTAATCGAATAATTATTGATAGTTTTAGGATGATTAATAATTACCTATGAATTCAACCTATACCTACATTATTACTAATTTAAATATTCTAGGCATACATCATTTCTGCTCAAAATCGTTTTCCGTATGCAATGATATTATTATTATGATTGAATTCAAATTTAACAAATTCATTACAGTGCCACTAGACCTATCCTACCGCGTACGCCTGAGTGGTACCATCTTGCAAATATTTTTAGTATTGATAATTATAAACTTAATACTGATCATTAATTTTAGACTCACTTATATTTCAATTCGATTTTACTATCTTTATCGTTTAAGAATTATTTTACTGAACATTTGATTTTGGTTTATTTTATATCTATGTATAGTTTTTATGCCGAAAATATAAATGGGTTCTACTTTTCTGTAGTCATCGTATTCAAATAAAACATAGGGTATATAGAATGGTGTTATATTTTGAAAATGTTCAAATTCTTTCAATTACAATTTTTCTTTTTAAGTATAGTTTATTTTATTAATTGTTTCAGTATTTATTGTAATTGTTGTAGTTATTATATACGTATAAATATTAAATATTATTAATTGAAAATTATATTCCGTTTGGAATAAATAAGCAGTCAAACTTCTATCATTATGTTATCCTTATAATTGTCTACTGCTTGCTTACAGTACATACTGTGTTCGATTTGAGTGTGGTTGGGGTATACTGGGGATGGGACAAGCTAATGTTCGAATTAATTTTTCTTAAAATGTTTATTTACATTTTTGCCAATGATACTGCATTTTTAATGTCAATATATGAATTAATTGAAAGACATTTTATGCATTTGATAGTTTTTTGATTTTAATTTAGACTAGTTTGTTTATTTAGTAACACAACTGTACGGCTTCTAGATTATAGTCATGCAGGTTACGGTGCCCAACTCCATCCGTCCTACAATTCTTCTTTATTATTGAACGCCATGATAACTTAATCATAATTATGTTATTAGTATTTGGTATTATTGATCGTTGTTTTTGAATTTTTACTTTTCTATTGGCGCGGGTTGCATGAACAATCACTAAACATTTAACGAATCAATAGTGACCTAATGATCCCTTAAACGTGGTTTAGCGGCCCATGATTGGTCTATCAAATTATATTTGGCCTTTAAATTAATATTTTTTTTCATTCAACCCGTATAAGTATAAGTGACAAATTAATGAACCGTACATATTAGGATAATGTATGTGAACATAAATCCTTGTTCACCAACATAGATTTAACTTTAGATTTTTAATTAATACACATGTAGTAGAAATGTAATATTTAAAAAAAAGCTTAGTTGATGCGGTGATGCCTGGGAATGTTTATTATTAATAATAATTTTGCGCTTGGAACACGATTTTGAATTGTTAAATTGAACTCATTTACTTATTTTCCCCCAATTCGAGCACTGAGTACATAATATATATAGTATATAATATAGTAAACTAATCTTAATTTAATTTTTTTAATTTATTGTATGTAGCAAAAGTGATGAATTCAAATTTAAAAGAATTTTACCACATTAAATGTGCAGCACCACGGTGAGGCGAACGGTATCCCGTCTTGCTTTTGTTAATCTTGTATTTGCCCCGACAACTTTAATTTAAATTTTATTTTTACATAAATCTAATTATTTACAGTATTATAGTTTGAACTTTTAGGTAGGTAGTAAAATGTATTGATTTGATTTCATCGAGAATTTTAATGCTTAGTCTATCTAAATAAGGTTCACAGCATGAATTGTCGCCTATTAGTATACCATTTTTATATAATATGTATAATTGTACAATATAATTACCTAAGTACATATATATACAGAGTGATTCACCATACATGCTAATCAACTCTTTTTTTCTTCAATAATGCAGTTATTCAACATCTGATTTTTTAATTTTTAGACCATATTTTCAAATGTTTGAGATTTTTCTACTACATAAAAAGTGTCCTGTGTAGATACAAACTTCTGTTTTTCAATTGAGAACACCCCTATTCAACTATAAATTATACAGTAGATATTTTTTCTGAAATTTTTGACGTATCAAAATTAAAATTCGTATACTAGTAGTTTATGAGTTATTTAATTTTATGCTCTAAGGATAAACGGCCCATAATTATGAGTTTATAAGATATGGGGGCTATGGGGATTTTAAAATAGCCGTCATTTATATTAGTTCATCGATATAAGTAATATGTAAAAGTGGCCCAAGTAATACTAGATCCAATTTTCTAACGTATATTTTATATTTATGTTAAATCAGTTATAAGGACTATCATCCTTAATACAATTATTTTAATAACTAAGAAACTACGCATTCGAATTTTGAATGTGGTAGGTACATAAATATTTTAAATAAATTACACACTCATTAATTTACAGTAAAAGAGGGGGTTTTCATTTGAAAAACAGAAGTTTGTATCACTACAGGACACGCCTTAACTAGGTATTATAAAACAATTCAAGAATTTGAAAATGTAATCTTTGAATAGGTGGGAAGTTATAATTAAAAATTCTAAAAATCAGGATTTAAATAAATTCATTATTAAAGGACAAAAAGGGGAGTGAGCATGTTTGGTGAATTATCCTGTATATATATATATATATGAAATTGGGATCGAAGACAATAAATAATTTTATATTTTAGAAAATTTGAATCACAATGAAGTTGTAAAACCTCAATATAGAATTGTATACGAAATTCGATAGAGTTTTCGATACGTAAAGGTGCATAAAGTCAAGGGATAAAGTAGGTATTGAAAACCAAAACTTTTA